GTTTTTCCCTAGAATTTTGACGTCGAGCGACGAAAGGAGGAAATCGCTACCAAACAACTACCGAATTCACCTACCAAAAATGGTACATAGGTTCACTGACTGACTAGGGAGCGCAGCGGAAGCACAACAGGTCAGATACGACCTCTCCATCCAGCAACCGAATACGACCCCCTGCTGGGAACCCCTCAGCGCGCTGTCTAGTCCCAGGGCGCAGTAGAGCGAGCCTCGTCCCATCGCCACCTCCCCGTTCAGCTACAGTAACGCCATTCCTTTGGACGGGAAATCGTAGTTTTCAATGTTTGGGGTGCACTACACCAACATGCTCCACCTCATTGGAATAGCGCCAATATTCACAAGTCTGTAACACCTAACATTCCATTTATACAAGTATTTATCCGCATTTTCGAACTAATACTAAAATTAAGATAATGTCGTCAAATACGGGTTCCAAAATCTCCTTTAACTACAAATCACAAATAAACACAATTCAATTAATGCCCAGAAAATCTGTTGAGAATCGTATATTAGACGGAATTATGCTTCGAATTATGTGTTATACAGAATAAAGTGAATCGATAAATCCGTAGGATCATATAAACGTAGACAATTATACACATCGGATGTCAATCAAGGGGGGCAAAGCTCGGCTATAGCTACTCAGCTGACTACAGTGTGAAACCTGGACACCACCACAAAAAAAAACGATTAAAGAACACACACATAGCAACCGAAAATCAAGCTTTTTTCTAAACAATATAGAAAAATAGCTACAAAATACCAGCGAAAAAAGGCATGATACACTTTGTGTATCACCTGATTTGATCGCAGTTAACGCTGTTCAATGGACATCACTTTCCCTAATGGGTGGCACAAAAACGTGAATTGAAAAACTTTGAGATGAGATAGATGGATGAAACAAGAATGACACAAACTTAACTACAAACTGGCCGCCGGACCTACCATACGTCTTTGAAAGATTAAACTAGTTAGAGATCTTTTGAATGAAGTCATCATCGATTGAATGTCGGCAACTTATCGAATGAGTATCCTGGACGACCACAAACCGTACAGGTAATGTAGTACACATGATAAGATCCCGGAACAAAGCAGAGGAAACCGGCGAACAGAAAGACCCAGCCTTGCGGTCCTGAAAATTAGTCATGAATGATTGATCAAATAACCCCATAAAAACGGAAGGTGAACTTCCAGGAATACTACATAAGGCCGCGTTCATACTCGGCGACTGAGGAAATTTGGCGATTTGGGAGACTGCGAGACGAGAAAAGTATTGGTACCGATCAAGCGATTAGGGAGAACCGGAGATCCGGTTTCGGGCGACTTGGCTCTCGGGCGCACTAACGGAGTGGGTCGGTATCGAACGGCGCCGGTCGCTTGCCATTTTGGGGGGGGGGTTACGTGACAACTAAAACTTTTGGTGGGGGTCCTGCCACGATAGGCCAGAGCGCAGAGCAATAAGGGACTGCTACTGCCAAGGCATCGTGAGGTACAAAAAACACGATGAGCCAGATGAGTGTTTTTTTTCAAGGGGAGGGGACACCGGGTGGTGGATGAGCCACTTAGTATGCGTGAAAAGTTGGAATGTGAAAGGTCAAAGTGGCCGCACAGGCAAATCGCCACACAGGCAATAGAGCGCAGAGAAAAAGAAAGTTTGGCGCCATCAGGGATTGCGGTCTTAGGTTGTCCGTAGGACCATGTGGGCGATCGCCCGACTAGCCACCGGCGCCGATCCGATAACCCATGCCACTCCTCTTGACACGCAATCGTCCGGAACGCGATTCGCCGAATCTCCTCGCTCGCAATGTATGAACACCACGAGCTTTCTTTCCTCTCAATTTACTTAGTCTTCTTGGTGCTGACGTTAGGGGGTGGGGGACCTGTTGGCCGGGTCTCCGTATGCCCTTCCCCAAATCAAGGCTCCGGCCTAGTGCAGAACCATATCTTCTCTGCCGAATTATCGCTAGGCAACACTGGCCATCTACGCTCTGAGCCTGAAATTCTCTAAAGAAAGGATACAAGAGGTGCGGTGCCCATCCCAGCTACACTAGCGCCGTTTTACTTCAAAATACTTTTAAATAGGTCTTGGTATGGTTTCTTAGTAATAGGAGATGTGATCAAACGAATTCATGCAAGTAAGCAATATTTCCTATAAGAGTGCGAGCATATACTTTTTATGCCAAACCCATTTTCCCCCCACTGCCGACCCAACCTTTTCGTTCGCTGCCGAACACTTATGAACGATCAATTCCCCCAAACTAGGAACCTGTTCCAAATACGATTATGCTCGCAAGGTTTTCAGTTGTCGGCACAACACAAGGACAAACACCTTGATAACGAGAAAATGATAGCTAAAGAAGAGACATTGACAAAGGGAGAGAGAAAAATTGAGACTGCACTAGATGCCAAAAAGCGACAACTCACCCTCATCAGGACGGAACATCACCATCGTTCCAATGACCAAAAGGACTGAAAAATGATTTTTACTCAGAAATAATTGCCGGTAATTCTAGCTCCAATAAGAAGTATTGTATAGAAAATTAGTGATAGAAAAAAGAAGGCGCAGTTCGACAAGGGGGGGGGGCATTTTGCACTTTCGCTGCTTCCTTCGTCGTGTTCAAAGCTTTACAAGAGGTATTCTTTACAAGAGCTGACAAGTAGTTTCCACAAGCTTCGACTGGTATCAGTTCAGGGCTCCACGAGATCTCTTAAGTCTCCACTTGATGGGATGTAGCAAAAGTGCAGAATGCCCCTCCCCCTTCCGAACTGCGCCCAATTGAAATTGAAAAAGAAAGCGAAAAATTCAAAGCTCACTTGTTCCGACCACAGTAAGTACTATTGAACCTAATATTACTTTGATATTAGAGCGAATGTGAGGATCGCTGCAGAGACCTCTGAACAAATAACTCGATTTACAGACCGATTTTTTTCGAATACTTAAAAAAATCAAAAATTATACGAGATAATAAGGAAGGCAACGTCTAAGCTCACTTGGGTTTATTGTTTTGCGGTCGACATTGCGTTGATGTATGGCTGGGACTTCCTCCAGGAAACACTCCAGCGCGTCCACGTTCTGCATCATCTTCGTCTCCCGAATCGTTAGGGTCTACTATTAACTGCAAAAATTACAAATCAACTTCATAAACAACAGAAAAACAAGAAAAAAAGAAAAGAGGAAAAAAGTTAAACGTTGCCCCAAAAAAAACACCGAAACTATCCACTATTGTTCCCTGTTATAACACAAAACAGCAAATACTGGTTGTTTAGAGCCGTAGTCAAGTATTGCACCATCCCACGAGCCTACCCGTTCTTCCACCCTCCCTCCAGGAATCGCACTTGTCTCGGTGGATTAAAACTCCGAATGGTACATCGGTTCACCCCTCCCCCCAACTTTCTGGATAGGCCAAATTGCATTAAAAACGTCGTGTGGTTCTAAATGGCAGTGGCTCATCCCAAAGAGGGAACAGTTCGCCTTTGAGGGGCCAACAAACGGTGTTCAGCGAATGATACGCAGAACAAACTCATGAGACCAAAAACGGATTACTTGTACTATTTTGCCGGTTCAAAACAGTAGACAGATCTGACCAAAATAATACTTATTAGTTGACATGAACTGGCGCAAAGCCCGTGGGAAGAATGCAAAATGCCCCTCCCAAGCCGATCAGCGCCCACATAGATTGATAAATGTGGACAACTTTTCACTTAGCTTGGTCGTTAAGGCCTTGCGAAAACACAGCGATATCACGAGTGGACCAACTCAACACAATCTCAGCTCCGCTGCCAAAGTTACCGTGATACCCGCGATCACGGCCATCAAGTTGGAAAGAAACTACAGAAAATTTTCTATCAGCAAAAATACCTACGGGGTTACAGAGGCTCACAACTAAAACTTCTCTCAATACCGAATAGGCACGAAAAAAAAACTGCGGTAAATCTTGGCGAGCAATGAGTCAAGCGTTAGCTGATCTAGATAAATACCTATTTTTAGACCCATTTTTGAGCTCTTTCTCCGCGTTGCCTAAATAAATCAGCTCTGGGATAGAAAAACAGACGAAAAGAGTTGTCGGCGGAACTTCAGGAACCTGGATAATAATTCACTCACGTGTTCTCCTTGTGATACATTACGCTGGTGGCCCGGCAGCGCTGGCATGCTGAAATCTCATTGAATAAGAAGAAAACACCACATACTGAGCGATCAGCTTCCACAATGAAACGATTTAAGCATTCATCAGCGGTCTACTTGTAGGAAACCTCGGCCAAAAACGCAAACCACAAACAAAACTGTTATTAGAACACTGCGAGATGACAAAATTGAAAGCCAAGCGAGAGACAGAAACGATTCTAGTGGAGATTCATTTAATCACAGGACCAATTAATGACCGTGGGCACGGTAAACTGTTCTCCTGCAGAAAACGGAAGGAGAGGCACCGAAGTAGACAGTAAATAAAGCAAAAAAGCACTGGCGAAACGGACCGTAAACACCAGGGGCTCTTATTAACCTCTACGAAGTGTACATGCCCACGTCTAACAAGATCATCCCTGGTCAAAGATCAATGAGGAAAAAAATCACGGCAAATCATTGCACAGGAATTATGAAAACACCTTGTTTCTAGTGATACGGCTGTTTCAGCATAGGACCTTAACAGAAACAGGGACATCCTTATGACATTGTCGCGACACCTCTGTCGAAAACTCAACTCACGGGGATCAAGTGAAAAAAATATTTAAAAAAAGAAGTTTAAAACGTGCCCTACTTGCGAGAAACCTCGCACGCAGCCAAAGAAAGATAATTCGTTACCAATGAGGACATTCCTCTTCAGAAGAACGGAAAAAGCGCCGTTCAGCCGCAGGGTTGTGGGTGAAAACAGCTGATTCAATCGTGATCAATTGCTGATCGGCGCGATGTTGGTGGCAGTATGGGTGGGCATGTTAAGTTTCGCTGAGACCTTAAGAGAGCGCTTTCAGTTGAAAAAGACACCGTGTAAGGCTTGCTCAGGAAGTGGTCTTTGGTGAACGCCCTCCTCATTTTACACGCCCAGAGGGATTTATAGTGCCCTTGCCTTTGACGTGAGCTCAAATACACTACAGTAGCCGCTGAGAAACGCTCAGAAATGCTGACGGATGCTGGAAACGCAAAATTGACCTACACTCTAGTTCGGATGCGGAGCGTTGGGCGTGTCAGCCAGTATGAGTGTGTCACCCCGTCAAAGCCGTTCTCTGCCTTCTTGTTGAAACGCGCATGCGACAAAAAGTGGTAGAAAACGAGTAATACGAAGGATATGATACAGTCATATCGCTTGCTCGCTTCAACAACTGGTGGAGAACGAGTTTGGCACCGCGCCAAACGCAGCCGCACTGACACGCCCAACCGTCCGCAGCGAACTACACTATATACTTTTCTAGTGCAGAAAACGCTGGCGACGCTCGAAACGCAGCCGCAAAGCATGAACGCGCTCTAAGCACTAGTGAAGCTTGAAAGTGTAAAAACCAACGGCATTTCGTGCAGCATTATATGATGCAAAACATTGAGATCGCTTTAGATTATCAGGGGATAAAGCTCAGCCCTGTCTTAGAAGGCTTAGAAGTTCTGCGGGTTAAGAGCTTTATAGTTATAAGGTATGAACTACAGCGAGAGAAGAACACTGGAAGCAGAACTTCGAGGAACTCAAAAAATAATTGTGTCCATAGAGAAATAAGAGTAATGTACTGAAAAAGTTGAAGAAGATGCACGTGGAAAGACGAAGCTTAAAGCACCAAATGCCCCAATATCGCCGACTAGCGCCAATAAGTCTTAAAAAATGAAAAGTCTAGAAATTCTCCAGAGAAACTCCTTTTGAATGGGCGAAATAGAAATTAATCATTTTGGCGCAGTACGGCTTAGGGGGGGGAGGTTGGCACTTCACTACTTCCCATTGTCGTGTCGAGCCATCATGTAGCAATTCGTGAAATCTTGTACAGCCATGAGTGATACCAGTCAAAGTTTGTAGAAGTTACTCGTCAACTCTTGTAAAGAAAACCCGTCTACTCCTGTAAAGTAAAGCAATCAATACGACAAGTAGCGAAATGCCATATGCCCCCCAAGCCGAACTGCGCCAAAATTTCATCTCCAGATCTAATAAGAGTCACAATTTCGAGAAAAAAAACGATGGCATTTCGGGTACCTAGAGGCATCGGTTTTCATTTCAAGGCGAGCGCATCAGATTCAACTCGTCAGGCATTTTTCGTGATCTCTGAACCACTAATGGAGGAAATCAAATCGCACGTCGTGTCACAGTGTTCAGCAGGAGCTCGCCAACCGAATACTTAGAGAGAGAGAGGGTTCGGGGGGGGGGTGGTGATGACCAGCAGAACTGGTTTCAGGAGGTGAATCGAGGGAACAACACATGATGCGTCATCATCGTGTTTGAAGTTTCGCTAAAGTAGAGCAGCACCCAATTCATACTGAGTGTCCCTTGAACTTTTTAATAAACTAGTTTTCATAACAGCTGTTGAGAAAAGATAACAATCGCCAATGCTCACGTGAACACCATCAGAACAAAAAAGCTGGAGCCATGCTTCACAGAAGCTGTGAGGATAAATAGCTTTCTCCTGGTGAAAGAATCCCTCAAACTTCACTGCCTCCCGAAGTCAGGCAGTAACAGTTAGACGGGCATCAAATGGCCCACCCAGCAATACAGTTCATATCGCGGGGATAGGAAGGGCGTGACTGCGTACTTCAGATGAACGCGGCGGCTATTGCGCTTTTCGTGGGATATTGCCGCTTTGGGATAATCGTAAACATTTCCTCGCCTAGCAAGATGGAAGAGTATCTCAGATGAAAAATATCCCACGAAAAAACATATCAGAGCCTTGTTCAAATGAAGTATGTAGCCACGCCCAAACCATGTCCGAGATGTGAAATGCGATTATATTATGACATTCCGATGGAAAGCAAGCCGTCTAGCCTACTTTTCCACAAATTAGCATATGTTCATACAAACCTGTAGCAGCTCACCAACAATGAAAACCAATAAATAAAGAAAAAAAGAACAAAAATCTAGCACCCTTCTGATATATTATTCTCGAAATTTTGAGTGCTAACGTAACTGGGGTGGGGGGTCCTGGCCTCGCCTTGCCCCGCCTCTGTGTCCTTCCCTAAAAAGGTTCAGGTCTAGAGCTCAGACGACCAGGGATTATGCTGCAGAGAAGATGTACCATCCTATCGAGCCTAATTAGAAAAAAAGAGACAAAATAACTGAAAAAAATAAATTACTCCAAAGGTCCGTTTCTCCCTTTCCTTAGATGAACTGTCGTTATTTCGTCTACCTTTTAGGAGAAGGGATAAGGAAGCGCTGGCCCAGTCATCCCCTACCTCCCAACTACGTTAGCCAGTTTTTGGATGATAACTATTTTTGAGTGATTTTGCTGCACTTCAACCTGCCAATGATAAAGTAAAACCAAAATGTTGCTTCAAAAACATAGTACGAAAGTTGACTAGTAGAAGGACCGGGAGGAAGCCCAGAAAATGTGTGACACTTGAAACTCGTTTCCCACTACTTCCGCTAGCTTCTGTTGCATGCGTAAATCTAATAAATGGATGGGAAGTTCAACAAAAGTTCATTTTCCTGCAATTGCACATTACTCTATTATTGGAAAAAATATTCAGTTTCCTGCGATTTCACACTACTTTAATAATCTATTTAGCTGGTTATTGTATGAAAGCGTTTAATAAAGATGTTCAATATAGAATACGACAATTAAGCTAGCATGGGTAGTTTCCCATTGTATTCTGCTTAAATGCATACACTATCAGCGTTATTTGCACTGTTTTGAATAGCATTTGTAGGGATATCCAACTAGTACAATAGGAAAATAATACTTTTACTACACTGTACGATTACCAGGATATAAAGGCGTATAACAATGGTATGAGCGCTTTTGCTAACCGGATGATCTCCCCCACCAGGATCCAGCGGTATTTCCCTGTCGCACTTCTGGCAGAACGTCTGAAGGAAAGAAAATAAGGGATGAAGGGAGAAGGAGGAAGAAGGAAAGGAAAGAAGGAAGAAGGAGGCTCCGCGGTTGACAAATATCCTTGGACGTATTGAATGGAACAGTTAGGCAAAAGTACTAGTAACTAGTAATGGGTAGCATTCAAAGCGGTGTGGTTCCCATGAAATACTCCGACTGAAGAGTTCAAAAAACGTGACAGAGAGGTAACGCCACGAAATGGTAAACAAAGCGAGCGTGAGAGAGTTGAAGCCGAGAGTGTCGGCGCCTGACCTCCCACAACTGGCAAAGCGCCAGCGACCGCTGCGCAGGCGCGCGCGCTCAACGCAACTGAGCTGCAGATTGCGGAGGCTCTGCTGCCCTGGCGCAGCTTTTTTTCTGCTCCAGCAGGAGATCCGGGTTTCTTTACTCACCTCAGTGAATGTACGCTGTACTACCTCTTAGTAATCAAGCGTTGCTCTTGGAAAATCGAGCGGAAAAAGCCCTAGCGTGCACTTTGCCGAGAAGTTGGAGTATGGTAACTTCATGGACTTATCGTACCATTTCAAAGCAGGGATGCGGACCTCGTGGTTCCTGTTATGGCTCAAACCTTTTAAAGAGAGCGTTAGCCATCAGAACTCTCTCGAAACCCTGTGTGAAATCCGCATTCCTCACATGCTCATGAGTTCAAACTACACGATGTACAATTATTGTCCCTGTCAGTGACAGGGCGTGTTTCGAGGCGTGGACTAAAGCGCTGCTAAGGCTGCCTTCCCAACCAATTTACTCCTGAGCTTGCAATGATAGGCGGGGGAGGGTGCTCTTGTGCTCCAACTCACGCCCATTGACCCGCCCTATGGGTTGACTATCACCCCATATCCCGGAGAAGGGCAGGGTGTGGTTGTGTGCTTCACTTGTACGTGGCGGCCGCTGGGCTTTTCGTGGGATGTTCCCGTTTCAAGACAGTTGTAGTGACGCCGTTTGCCATAACACAATACTGGATGCGGTCTAATGGATTTTTTCACGAAAAGCAGCCTACATAGCTTTTGAATGGAGTGCGCAGCCACGGCCTCCCCAATCGCATTTGGACGAGTTCTCACATGCTGGGACCAGCTCTTTGCCTTCTCACCTCACCTTCACCGCTCGAAATGGAGAGTAGCTGAAGATAGCACCATCAGGAAG